TTTTTTTTTTTTTTTTTTTTTTTTTTTTAGTGTTTTGAATATGTTAAGCTCCCCTTGTAAACTGAGCTAATAAACCAAGCTCCCTGGCAGTTAGTTGTAAACCAGATTCAAAAGCCCTGGGAAAAAAGTCTTGCATTTCACACAGCGCTTTTTGGTGATGTGCTGTGCAACTTTGCTCCACAAAAGCAGAATATGTGTTCAGGGCCGCAGTTCTATTTTAAGTATCTAAATTGTTTTAAATGGTACGAGTTGAGTGTGGTTCATGTGAAGTTAGCATTTTGTGAATTTGTAGTTGCGATATACAAAATAACCCTTTTCCCCATAAAGCTAGCAATTTTTTTCTTTCCCTCCGAAGATTTACAGTACCTGCGGTTTCCCACAACTCTAGCCCGACTTGGAAAAGCTTACTGTGTGCAGCCAGGCTCAGGTGCATCCTGTAACTTGGATCTGGTTTTACAGGGGGGGAAAAAGGTCCACATAGAAAGTTTCAACAGATTCTATAAAGCAACTTCTTTGTACAGGATCTTTCAAAGCATTTCTTTCAGGCTTCCAGCAAGTTCTGCCCCCTGGTGGCCGGTCCAGTGAAAGAAACAGGGGTTCATTCCACATATGTTTACCTTACCACTACCTGGTAGATATTAAACATGTGCTGAGTTAGCGTTTTAAAGTGAAAGAAGACAGATGTAATACCCGTGAGACCAAATTCAATAAAGTTATGTGGTCTCAGAAATGCAGTTTTTAGATTAAAAGGTGAATAAAAATTCTCAACCATGACACTATAGACATTTTGGGCTAGATAATTCTTTGTTGTGGGGACTGCCCTGTGCATTGTAGCATATTTAGCAGCATCCCTGGCCTCTACTCACTAGATGCTAAGAGAAGTCCCTCCTCCCAACTTGTGACAACCAAAAATGTCTCCAGCCATCGCAGGTATCCTGAAGGAAAGAGTGGCCCCAGTTGAGAACTACCGATACACATATGAAAATACAACTTTGTGTAGCATCTTGTTTTGAGGGGAATAATAGTAAAGAAATCAAAGAATACCAGACATCTTATTGTTTCTCCTGTTTCACTTGAAATCTATGTCCAAACATTACATGTATCTGCTACTGTAAGTGAATGAAATTACTAAAATGAAAATTAGGTCTAAAATGAACTAGACTGTTTTAGAATATTTTATACTTTAGCATGTTTTTTAATACTTTTGCAATTTTGTTGCTTTTCTTAGTCTTTCTCTGGCAGTAAATAAGTAGCAGTGTCCCCTTTCCACTTATAATCGGGAAAAGAGCACTGGTCAAAGTAAAAAAATCGTTCCTCAAAACAAAAATCCAGTTGGTGGTGTGAAAAGCAAATTGATTGGCAAACATTAGAGATATAAGGATCACCTGCAATAAGGCCATTTATGGAGGAGTGGGGTGGCGGTCAGACAGGTTACCCCAGGGACTTGCACTCCACGTAGAAAATGTAAAGTCTGTGTGATTAAAAGAAAAGGAAAGAAATTGCAGTATTTTAGAAATAATTTTAAAGTTGGTTCCCTATAGTAAGTCATCCAGAACATGAGCAAGTGGGATGGAAGGAAGGACTCCGGCCTCCGAGGACTCAAGATCAGTGCGGTTCTAATCCGTCGAGTCTTTGGAGCTCAAGTGGTGCGTCTCTGCCCATCCCTCTTCCCTGCAGTACAACGGGATGTGCTTGCAAGGGCCCGCGGGCGTCCCTGGCCGAGACGGGAGCCCTGGGGCCAACGGCATCCCCGGGACCCCTGGGATCCCAGGTCGCGATGGATTCAAAGGCGAAAAGGGGGAGTGCCTGAGGGAAACCTTCGAGGAGTCCTGGACACCCAACTACAAGCAGTGTTCGTGGAATTCCCTGAATTATGGCATCGATCTTGGGAAAATTGCCGTAAGTGAAATCTGAATTATTTTAAAGTTGAAGCAAAACAAGGGTTTTTAATCCTGGCTGCTGTTGCTCAGTGGAATGAAAAAAAGAAAAGAAAAAAAAAGGTAAATATGTAGATTGGTTTGGTCTACATACTAAAGCTGTTTTGGGTAAAACTGAAAGATACCTTCGGTGGGGTGAGTAATTCTAAGAATGCCATAATTTGGCGTTTCTCGGGTTCCTCCTATCAGAGCCTCCTACCTGTCTTGCAGAAAATCTTTTTCCCTCTGTAAAAGTTAAGCTTTTAGGATGTTGTTTGGGGTCGGGGCTAGTTCAAGTTCACAGCCCAATTTGAAAGCATGTTTGTAATCGACTTGGAAACACTGACGGGAGCCGTCGGGGTCTGTGGCAGGAGTGCACCTTCACGAAGATGCGCTCGAACAGTGCTCTGCGGGTGCTGTTCAGCGGCTCCCTCCGGCTCAAGTGCAGGAGCGCCTGCTGCCAGCGCTGGTATTTCACCTTCAACGGCGCCGAGTGCTCGGGCCCGCTCCCCATCGAAGCCATCATTTATCTGGACCAAGGAAGCCCTGAGCTCAATTCGACAATTAACATTCATCGCACTTCTTCTGGTATGTAGAATAGTGACATCTTGCATCTCAGCTCTTTAGAGACAAAGATTAGTCCTGAGTCCGCTGTCACGTGTCACTAGGACACCCAGTTTTTAGCCCATGATGCTCCATCCGGGTTGCATTTCAGAATTTCTTGAAATGGATCTCTAAAAAAATATTCCGATGCCTGGGTCCCACCTCTGACCAACTAAATCACAATCTCTGGGGGTAATACTGTATTTTTAAAGAAAGATCCTCGAGGTTGAAAGACACTAAGTTAGATGAAATGGCAAAACAGCCAGTAATGCCCTAGAGGAGTGGGTGTCAGCCTTGGCTACACAACTGGGCTCCCTGGGGGAACTTTAAAACAGCCCCAGGCCTGGTTACCACGCCCCTAGGGAGTCCAACTTAATGGGCCTGATATATTATGGAATTGTACACTTGAAACCTATGTAATTTTATTGACCAATGTCACCCCAATAAATTCAATAAAAATTTAAAAAATTAAAAAGACTTGCAAATCAAAGTCTTGGCTTTTAAAAGTGTAGGCTTCCCTTTGTTTAGTCAAATAAATTGCTTATTTGTTTTAGGTCATCTCTGTAATGAAACACATTCTGGTTTTATGGTTAAAACCTGTAAGAAAAATGCCTGCGAAGCTTATATCATAGAATGGATATGTATTGTCTTTTAAAAAGAATTATGTGCTAAGAAAAACAGACTTTAGTTTTACAAAACACTTATCAAGTATCAGAATTTTAATTCCCTGTACATTAAGTAGATTTATTCTCTAGCTTGTTAAAGTAACAAAATTTAACTAAAGATTTTTGTTTGCTAAAGAAAGGTGGACCTCTCCTCTTTGTTTTGCAGTGGAAGGACTTTGTGAAGGAATTGGTGCCGGCTTAGTGGACGTTGCTATCTGGGTGGGTACTTGTTCGGATTACCCCAAAGGAGATGCCTCTACCGGGTGGAATTCGGTGTCACGCATCATTATCGAAGAACTGCCAAAATAAACTTTCATTCTCCTCCCCTACCTCTTTTTTAGTATACTTTTGAAAAGTTAATTTTAGTGACATGCTACGTAATTTTTAGGTACACATCTGAATGAAAAACAAAGCTAAGTGTGTTTACAGACCCAAGTGTGACTTCACACAGTTTTAAAATCCAGTATGACTCATTTTCCTCCCATCGAGGATGGTCTGAGGATTTTGTAGTTGAAGAGAATATGTACTTTCCTCATAGTCCCATCCTCTGAGCCTGTAATTTAGGATGTCGTTGTGGTCTTTAATTTTTCCTATTCCCTTAGTATAGCACGTTTTTAAAGTAGAAAAGCTACCAGTCTGTACAAGTTGTAAATGTTCAAAACTGTTTTATATCTGTGAAATAAATCTTATTTCAAACAACTTTAATATCATTAGCCTATTTCCTACTAACGTTAGAGTGTCTAATAGTTCATATCTGAAAAGTGGAGTATAAACCTAATTTTGTATTCATTCATTTTAAAATGGTATATTCAATATAAAGTAAGTGTGTAGTAATGCTCCATATCTTGAGGGATACGAATAGAAAGGAAATACACTAGCACTTTAGGAATTTTATCTTTATTTAACAAAGAGTAAAAAGACGTGAATTCTTGCCTCAAATAACTTGGTAGGGAAGATAAGATATAAATAGAAATAAGAGTAAATGAAAGACTATATGTTGATTGCCATGACAGTTGTTGAAGGGGGCAGTGTAATTCAAAGGAAGATCTATCAATTCGGGTTGAGGTGCTCAGAAAGCATTCACGATGAAGGAAGTACAGGTATAAGAGTGATAAATTTAAGTAAATCCTGCGCTTGAGTTGGTAGTATCAATATGAATTCATAAAGTGCTTTATCTTAAGCTATAAAACAATAACAACAAACTCTAGCTTTGTTTACTGAAAAGGTCTATAAATAATGACCAATTAAGTAATGCCCAGATTGTGATTTTTACATACCATTTCCTACGGAAAGGAACTAAGGCTCCATGAATTAATGGGGGGTTTCAGCTCTGGGGCAGGAAAGGCACAGTATGAGCCCGGAACATCGTGGCCTACTGGAAAACAAGGCAACTAGCAAAGAACTCACAAGGATCCAAGAGCCAACTCGAATTGGTTCCCACTGGCAAAGACGATACGACTTCAGCATTAATAAAGGTAATAGCTGTAATGGTTCAAAACACACCAAATATGTTTAAATGCATGAGTTCATAATGATATTAATGAAAAATTCATTGGTTAACTTGGAGGACACCAGCAAACCAAATTGTTAGTTTGAAAATTGATACATAAAAAAAACCCAAGTATTTATTCTGCTTTCTCTATATGAACCATATCTCTGGATAACTAAATTGTTGAAGGGAAATTTTTCCTTATAGAAATGTGTACGTGTATAAGTCCTCATGAATTAAGGGATCTAACAATGATCATCAATGACTGATAACATTCCAAAAAGAAAGACCAGACTATATGAAGCCTAGTGAAAGTACATAGTACTACCCAAGAAGTAGTTTTGCCAAGAAACAATCAAATCTGGGTCTGATTTAGTCTCCAGATATAAACACTAAGTTTTGGGAAATGAAGGGGATAGAAGAAAATGTTAATTGATATTATCGAGGTTATAATCAGCAAATAGACTGGGAAACTCAAAAGACAGCTTGGTTTCTTCAACAAATTGCAAGAAAAGAGAAAGAAAAAAAAAAATGGAGTAAAAGAGACTTAATATATCAACTCATTTCAGTGTTTTGGACTTTATTTGGATGGTTTAGTTTAAGACATTTGAACATGAGATATTTAATATTAAAAATTACCTTTTTTTGGTGTGATGATACTGTTTTTTAAATAGTGCTTATCTTTTAGAAATACTGAAATATTTAAGGTAAAGTGATATGGTGTCTGGAATTTGCTTCAAAATAATGTGGACATGAAAAGTGGGTGGGAGGGGGTCTAGATGAGAAAATGTTGGAGATAGGTGGAAGTTAACCGAGATGGGTGAATTTTTTGATAAATAGTGAGTGGGATTAAGGACAGAGGCTGGGGCTGTGAGGCAGTCGAGGGGCTGTGCGTTCTGGGTTCGCAAACAGAGCAAAGCACCATCAGGGTCCACACACTTACACATACACCGCCACTGACATCACGCAGCAAGAGCAAGAAGAAATTTCAGTACACTGAAGCCAGGAGAAGCTTCTTGCCTCCTGCAATGTCCCTCCAGTATCCTCTACTTAATGTGCTCAGTCCAAAGGAGAAATGCCTAGAGTCCGGTCCCACAGCAGAATGAATTTGGAGCCGATAAGAGGCTCAATCAACCCCTCTGACGACTCAGCTTCCATATGAACCCTCATTCATAAAACAGCAAAGAATCTATATACTCAGAGAGTAATCAGTATACTCAGTATACTCAGAAAGTATACTCAGAAAGTGATGTCTCTAAGAGTCGGTCTGGCTGGACCAGCCTCGGTAACTGTCAATTCCAAACCATTCATTATGAATAGAGGTGGCACATCCAGCTTGGCTCTGCTTTCCAGGGCCCTCCTCTGGGGCAGGTGAGGCCCATTCCATCTCAGTCACGAAGGTGAGAATGAAGGGAGGAGGTAGGTTCTGAAAAGAAATTCGGGCTACTAGGAAGAGAAATAGATGCTGGGCAGCCAATAACAGGCATTCATTACAGGTACTTCCAGTCTATTTCCTACTTACTCATTTAGAAAGAAATCTAAGACTTTAACCCAAAACTTGCCTCACACACATTCTCTATGTTACCTAACACATTTTTAGAAAACAGACATAAAAGTTAAATCATTTCCTGGTACTTTATTTCTATAATAGAGTAATTGTATAATCACTAAAAAGACTTTGCTATGTAAGTGGTGATACACACTTTATCTGGATGATTTTATATTCAGTTAAGTGTCCACGTTCAAAAGAAATTTCTCTCTGATGCCCTGTGAACTCAAAAATACCTTTTAGTTGATGTTCTTTTCTAGTGCGGTGTTTAAAAACCAACATGAAGAGGAAAGGGAGTTATAGGGGGAAGTAGAAGGTAAAGGGGGGACAAATGGCGATGGAAGGAGACTTGACTTACGGTGGTAAACACACAATGCAATACACAGAGGATGTGCTGTAGAACTGTATCCTTGAAACCTGTATAATTTTATTTACCAAGGTCACCCCAACAAATTCAACTAAAAAAAAGAAAACTCTTAAAAAAATAAAAGCACATATTGAAATGTAATAGTCTTTCTCACAGGCACCGCGTCCATGGTCTTGGACCATAGCCTGCCACAGGTTCTTTCTCTGGTGCCCGGCTCCAGAAAGCTTTGTTGCCACCTTACCTTAAATCTTCACACATTCTCCCTGCAATCATGCTCTGCTTCTCCCTTTGCCCTCCCCGCCACTTCCACGCCTTCCTAGACTCCCAGCACGTTTCCAAGCTAAAGCTCTTTACGTCTCCTTTACCTGCTGAAATCCAAGAAAGCAGTCCCAGTGAGATGAACACGTGCAGTCTGCCCCACCTGGGTCGCTGCTTGCATTCTGTCTCCAGCTTCTATAATCTGAATCTAGTTATCAGTGGCATTGATCTTCATCCTACTGAAACATTTACATGGTTGATAACCCCTTCTTTCTGAGCGTGCTCCTCCTATCTGATTGGTCTTCCTTTGTCACCCCCAAGATGTAGCCATATCTCTCTGTTCCATTAATTTCTCTCACTTCTCTATATCCATCAAAACACCCAAACAGGCTTAGTAAAGCTTTGAGAGCTTTGTTCTAGTCGTAACCTTTCAGCTTCGTCTTCCATTACCTCATTGTGAACTCACTGCTCAAGACATGTCAACTGTGCTTTTCCCCCATGGTTCCAAGGTACCTTGTGAAATATCTTCCTTCAAGGCACAGCTTAAATGTTTTCCCCTCCATGGACCCTATTTTAGTCCCCCCCAGGCTATAAACTACCTCCATCAGCCAGGTCCACACTACCACCAGATTCCTAACTAGCCTAACTAGTATCCTGCTTCTTGCCCGTCTCCTGCTTATTTCTCCACATAACCACTAGAACGATCTCTCGTGCAGTCTAAACCCCTTACCACGGCCTAGGGCTGGCCCCTGATGATGTTTACTAGCCCAGAGACTGTGCTAAGCACTTTACTTGGGTTAACCCATTTAATCCATCAGTAATCCTATGCCTATGTACTTTTAATATCCTTATTTGTAGATTCTGTTGATGACCCACCCAGATACCTTTTACAGGGCTGGTGCACCCATAGCCCAGCCAGGAGCAGGTGTGGGTTGCCCACCCTGCTTTAGTTTTATTTATAGCATTTTATACCTGAAATGACATTATGCTTAAATTTGTATGGTTTCTGGCATTCACACTAAAATGAAAGTTCTGAGGACAGGAATGTTGCCTGGCTTATTTATTACTATATCCTCAATGCTTGGTAACACACCTGTACAGGGCAGGGGCTCATAACTACTTGTTGAAGTGAAATGAATTTTCTGACCTCTTATAGGGCTTTGCAGAAATTTTCTTGCATGTTCTTAACTTAGAATTACTGTTATTTAATGTTTACTTATTTATTCTGCAAGCTTATATGCTCTTAAAGGACAGAAATTATGTTTTATTAATTTGGGGTACATAGGAGGCATTCAAATAATGACACTATCTCCAAAACTCCAAGTAGCGACTGTAGCTCGTCTCTCCATATGGTGAGGATTTCATATGAATTATAGTATAATCATAGTATGAAAAACACATCATATTTAATTTATAAAGTATTCCTGGGCATGTTACAAGAAACTATAGTAAATATAATTAGGTACTTATCATTTCACCTTTATTTTTAAAACAATGCCATTTTTGAGATATAAAAAATAGATCTATTTTCAAAGAATTGTTTAAATATGGCTTTCAAAACCACATTTTATTTACAGCAAATAGATGGTAGTGCAATAGCAGTCATGGATATTTATGATAAATAAAAATATTAGCATTATTCTGGCATCCTTTTGGGGCAGAACTTTTTATATTTATAGATATTTACAATGACTCATAAAAGTAAAACCAAGAAAGGCTATTAATGTAATTTGTACTTGAACCTGAATTTGAGTAACCAATGTAGATTAGTCATTTATTTGGGATCTGGGCCCATATATACGAAAACTGAAGTAGGAAATTAAAGTTTCTCAGCTCCATGCAGTTTGTCAACAAACACATCCCAGTCATCCCAGTATCTGTATAAGGTGTCACTTACTGACAACTCCAGTAAGTGATTTATATGCTAAATAAGGGCTGACACAGCTGGATTCTAGTTGATTTTATAAATGTAAAAGACACTTAGGTGCCCATGCCAAAAAATAATGGGATCCAGGATTACAATTTAAATTATGGAAAAACAAACCTCTGGCAATAAAATCAGTGATGGAATGACAACAGATGTCAGATATTTCTCAAATTGGGAGAAGTACATAACTTCTCAAATTTCTCTAGTTCATTATTCCAACTGAATTAAAACTAACGCACATTTAAAGTAAATTATTTTTCTCACCAAAATTTCCCAGTTCTAAAATGGTCTGGATTTGGGCAACATCTTTTCCAGCAAATCCTTAAAGTTTAGTCTACCCGAGAAACAGTGATGCCATTCTTACAGGAAGCCATTTTCTTGCTATGGCACAGAGGCTAATTTTAAAGCTAATTCAGGCAAATGAGTTCAGGAAAAGAAGTACATTCACCTAATCCATTTAGCAAATGCTGCAAATCAGCTTCTACTTGAACAGTGAAATGGAGAAATTTATGAAACTCTCCATTTTATGTCAGCTTTACTGTTGTATTGATGGCAGATAGTTCAGGCAGAGATAGTCAAGTTCCACATACATGGGGAAGGCAAAAAAACCGAAAAACATTGTGAAGACTTAGCAGTTTTTTGACCCCTAATGATTATAGACCACTTTTGATGATGAGCCATGTTGCTGTGTAGTATTTTGAGTTTTACATTTCAAACACAAGGGAGCATGTTGCTGCCTTGGGCAGATGTCCCGGACTTTTCTTCTTTTAGTTACTTTTTCTCTTCTTTAAGGTCAAATAAGAAATGTGACACATTTTCATATACCACAAAGGTAATACAGCAGGCTGGAGTCACTCTAATCAAATTGGGAGCAATTCCTTTGTAAAATCCACCAATGCCTTCTTTCCTTTAGAGGGAAAAACAGATAGATGCTTAATTTCCTATACAGCCAGGAGGAAGATACAAAAGTTTAACTGACACAGGGCATTGAGCCAGCAGTCAAACCTCATAGCGATTAAACCATGTTTTCAATGTCCTGAAGTAATGTAGTTTATGCGCCATTTGTAGGGGCTTACCTTCCTTTCATGGGCTGGCTGGGGAACAGTGGGTAGGGAAACCTCAAAACTGAACTGAGAAGTAACTTAACGATAACCATCTTTCAAATGCCTTTAAAGGTATAAACATGCAGGAGTATTAACTGATCTAATGTAGGCATCAAAAACCTCATATATTATATAAATGCAAAACAACATAAATATAGCACATACCAAAATAAAACTACATCCTTACTGCCTAGAATAGGAATATGGCCTTGGAATTTGTCACTTAGGTTCCTGATAAACATTTACTAAATTGAACTTAAACATTCTAAATATTCTGCTCTGGCCTTTTAGAATTAAAGATAAATATGGGGATGTCTACCTACCTATAACAGTTTATTCCCATGCCAACAAACAAGCATTTCTTCACATGCGGAGACTAGTGCAGTTTAAGTCCTCGTTTAATGTAAATGATCAGTTCTATGACTTTAAGCAAAATGCCGTGTAACAAAACCACAGGCTAACTGATATAAACAAGAATGAAAGTTGTATAGCATCTCATCAATATTATAATGAAACGATGTTATTCGAGGACCTGCTATATTTGTAAAAGTTATGGTGCCCGTAGCAGGTGTGGGGCCTTCTTAATTGTATTAAACCAAGTCTTTTAAAGACTTCCTACATTCAAGGCCATTCAAATATTTTATAACATCTAAATTTTGTTTTATTAATTTGTCAAAGCACTTTCACAGATCTCAGTTGATTTTAACAACCTTGTCAGCATAGATATCCTAATTTTACAAATCAAGCCTTAGAGAGATGAAGTTCATGCTCCTACATGTAGTAAATGGGAAATGGAGAAGCAGGGGCCACCAGCCATGCTTTCACCACACCACACTGGCCTTGGCTAAAAACAAATGTCAGCTGGCCAGTGTGATTTGCAAGGTGCCTCCCTAAGAGCCATTGTGATACACCACATGTTCTCACCTCCACGTCCTTGTGATTACATCCAACACACCCTTGTAAGACATGTGCTGATCCTGAAGACGAGCTCTCACAACTTGATATGGGTATGTTGCTGCTACAGCAAATATTTTGGATAGTGCTGCAACAGATATATATTCTACAGTGCTCTAAAACAACAAAACAAAACATGTGTCTTTCTTTAGGCAGGATTTCTTGAAAAATGTAAACTTATAAATTATATAGGAAAACAAACATTTAAATAGATCTGCAAGTGAAAAATACTATTTCCCCTCTTAACACAAACTTTGAGCAATTAAGGCATTCTATTTTTAATATTTGTGTATCATTAGCCTATAAAATGTTTAACTATAAGATAAATTAGTGGCAGAGTCAGTACTCATCACCACAACAATACTCCCAAAGTAAACATGACAAGATCTCCATATATTATAGCCCATAAAAGTAAATAATACATTTTTTTCAGGAATCATCTTACCAACTGGGCTTCTGGTAATCTATTGATATGCTGGTTGTATTTCAACTTCAACAACTCATATGCCATAAACTGAAGGGCACCGTGTGATGTTCCAAACAACCCAGGAACAAACCCCTAAAACGAAACAATTAAAAAAAAAAAGCTAAACTAAGCAAATTCCCAAAGGAATACAGTTTCCAGGGAGGGGATTAAGGAATGGGTGACCTCAATGCGTGACTTAAGTGAAATGGTTACTCGACAAAGTTTTAGACAGTTCTCACACCCACCTGTGTTATGATAATACATCTTATGGTAATGGGGACACACAGCTTAAAGTACAAGTCCAATACTGTAAACTAGATTTCACTTTTCATTAAATTATTTCTTGCCTAAGTTTGGCTTCTTTTTAGAACTGAGTATAGGTCATTCAGAACTCGGACAGTAGAGACAAGGGAAATGACAATGGTCAGTTATTAAAAATGTATTGATAATAATTCATTACCTTATACAATCCACGCACACCTTCATACTTATATATTTTCATAAGTGTATCAAACATTCCTTTATATTGCCGCTGTGGGGAGTTAACAACACCATCGTACTGTAACATAAGGCGAGTTTTTGCTACCCATAATGGGTTTGTAATGCAGAGAGTCATGGCTCCTAAAAGCAGATTTAAATACAATTACTCAGCATACAGGTACTTTTTCACTCATGACAATCCAAATTAAGAACAGTCCACTTGTATCAAAAATGGGGTTGCCCAGGGTATGCACCTGCAACAGTGAGATGCGGTCTCTGAAGCATTGTTAGGGCTAAAAAGCACATAGTTTTTGGTGGTCATGAAAAAGTCCTCATGTGGTTAGTGAGAGGTAAATTAAAAGGGAGACGGAAATGTGAAACACCTTCCCTCTGAGGTGTGAGGGTAAAGATGTCCCAGCTCCTAGACGATGAGACCTGGTGTAAGAGAGCAGATGGAAGTCCCAGGAAGCACTCTGATGAGGAGATGCAGACACTCAGGAGTAGGGCACAGTATAACCCAGAGGGGTGGAGGTTTAGGAGAGGCCCAGGAGCCCGGCACGTCAGTAACGTGTGCATGTGCACACATATATCCACCTCAACTTCACCACAATCTTGCCAAGTCCATTCAAGGTAGCGACGACACCCCCCAAATTAAAGAACTATACAGTATAAAAGTATCATTTTACGTTCTTTACAGAAAGTGACAATTTTGTAAAAAACCCCAGTCTGGGTAAGTTTCTCATTTGCTGAGCTTCCTAAGTAGCCCTTTATTCAACAAATATTTATTTTTCCCATGTGATTCAGATCTCTGCTGAGTATTCAAAAATGAGTACGATAATTCTTGCCTTAAAAATCAATATTAAGTAAGGCATGAAAAGTATCAAAGTAGGAGTTTTAAAGACGTACAGGCCTTACTTTATTTTTCCCTTCTGAGTATTATACACACATGAGGCAATTAAACAAGGCTACTAAATTGTATAATTTGAAAACTGAAATTATACTTTAATTGAAGAAACACTATACTGAATCATTTAAACTATCAGAGACTTATAATTTTCCTAAATTTTACTACCTGGTGACAAGCAGAATCCTTGAAATCTATACATAATAATAATAATACCTGCTTTTTAAGAAATTTCACGTGACTACTGATTAGTATTAGATAAGCATATTTAAACTCTGGTGTTCAAAGGAAAAAAGGCACATAAATAAAACAAAAGTGAAAATCTGATGTTTTAAATTTCACACACTGTCCTACCAGCTTCGGCAGCTGAGATGAGATATTCTGTTGCCTCTAACCGTTCAGCTCTTCCTTCTGTCTTGTATGATTTGATGGCATTGTAACTAAAAGAATAAAATATAAGCAGTTTAATATTTGAGCAGGTATTATAAAGCGGTAAAGTCTGTTTTAAAATGGTGTGTAACTTAACAAATAATGCCTCACAGGTAAGTCAGCGCATAATGCAGCGACAAAATGAAACCTTTTTCTAGAATGAATTTGCTGGAATGGTTCACTGTTAAGATTATGCCTCTCCTCCCCCCAAACATATACGGCTAGAATACGTATGTAAATATTTTAATCACACTCATCAGTTAATAAAAACAACAGGGAAAAGTAGGAGGGGGAAGGTGCAGTGGTGGTACAGTGATTGGCCAGACAAGGCAAAAGGGACCAAAAAAGGCACCTAACAAATATGAGCTGAACATCTGTTTGGGCACCATGGCTGGCAAGTCTAGCAGATAAAAAGATAAACTCTCAATGGATCCTTCCTAGCAGACTAACGAGGACCACAGGCAGCACGCAAACAAACATAAAAGATAACACAGAACCATCCTAAGGGATTGAGAAATTATGACTGAGATCACAGAAGGCTTTGTGTAGAAAGTGGCATTGGCTGAGAATGAAGAGACAGGTATAGTCACAACAGGGGAACAGATGAGCATGAGCAAAAGTTAATAAGGATGAATGGGAAGGCAGGGAAAACGGAGCCACATGTGAGTGGCAGGCTGACATCTGGACTTTATTTGACAGAAAATAGAAAACCATAATGTGTTCCCGAGCAGGGGAGTCAAGTCAGCCTATATTCTCTAACTCCGATTTCCACTTTCTCTTGAAAAGACTTCAGTGAAATAAATCTTTCCAAGGTTTACCAATACCATTTTAAAATGAAATGAATGTACTGTTTTCTTATAAAAATTTTTCAACACACAAACCTTATATGGCTTGTCCTTAAAAACTCTTTGGAGGACCTACACAACTCTGAAATTCATAATAGCATGAACGTTATACATATCGTTTCACTCTTCTAAGTATATCTTAAAACTGAAAATAAAAAATATTTAAACAATACTAAAGCTGAATTTTATTTTGCTTTCACTTAAAGCAGCACATGCTCCTCCACTGCAGTGAGATGACGCTTTGTTCCCACACTCTTGTACACTCAACAGGTTGAATGTCCCTGCCATAGGTGCTTTCTATGGCTCCTTCAGTAAGCATGTAACAGCAGTTATTTCAAATGGTGACATATCTTACAAGTTAAGGAGAAAGGAAATGAATGGGCTAGGAAGGTGATGAAGCAGGTCAAATCATATGTAAGGAGGGACATGCTTCAAATTCTTTTGGTTATGCACTGGCTTTTGCTTTCTGTTTCCAGCAGTGATTTTCCTGTGGTACACATTCTTACAGGAACCCCATGATCTGTTCTCTTCTGCTTTTCCAACTTCACTGTGCATCAAGTGTGTTTTGGTAGCCATTTTCCTGAATTCACCTCCAAGAATGGCTTCTATAAGAATTTCTTTATTTCATCTCTTTGCCTTCTTCCTATTAAGAACTTCCTTTCAGAACAAAAGCCTCTGATAACAGCTAACAGAGAATGAAATAAGCCATTTTGTTCTTTCTGACCCTTCAGATTCAGAGAAACTGATTAAATGACTCATCTTGCTTTATTAATTGGTATAGATCTACTCACAAGAAAAAGTAGAGTCCCCAGGATAAACCTGCACCCCACACATTTGGGGTTACTCCTTGGTAAAGTCCCCGTACTCCATCAAGTTTCCAAATGGTAGTCAAGCAGTGCACAATTCCTTTATATTTCGGTCTCAGTTCCAATCCATCACTCACTGCAATAAAAGACACAAAGTCAGATGAGAGAATCACATATAAACAGATATCACACAGTCATATAAAGGAGATAAAATTCAGAAGAAAAAAACATTTAGGTAGAGGAAATTATTTTCCAGGATTCTTTAATATTTAAAAAAACACATTCGTGAATTTATTCAAGTTTTTATTGAAGGCACACTGAGCACTCAAATAATATTGTAGGAAGTGCTGGAGTAGCAGCTCTTAAATAAATAATCAAAAAGCCTCTTAATAGGTTTCAACCCAAGTTCTGTTTTTGTTACAGATATCCAAGAATAAGGATTCAGATGATCAAAAATATTATTCAAAAAATAAACTTACTAACGCTGCAGCAGCACCTGCCATTGTTTACCTCCTCAAACACTGTTGTTGGCTAGCTGCACACCATCCTCTCCTGCTCTTCCTCGTATTCCTTCTTTGGCCATTAAATTTTCTTTGCAGCCTCCTTGTCTTCTGCCCACCTTTCAAATGCTGATTTTTATCAGCATCCTTTCCACTCAACTGGGATGGTTTCTCAATTAGTAGCTTAAATTGCTGTCCCTATGCTACAGTTTCTACATCTCTAGTCCTGATCTCATTCCTAATACCCCTACCTGGCTTCCGTTTCTACATGGCATAAAGGATGTGTCCATCTGGGAGCTTCTTAACTTTCTGGAATCGTGTTCATTCCCACCTTTAGCATTTGACCCTTTAGCTATACCAAACTACCCACCTATGGATTCAAACTAACAGCATATGCTGTGGAGTCAGACTTACTGGGTTTGACTCTCAATTCCAACACTTCCTGTGTAACCCTGAGTAAGTTACTTGATTACTCCACAACTGAGTTTTCTCATTCACAAAATGAGAAAAATAATAGAACTTAATTCTAGAAAGTACAGAGGATTGCATATAAAGTCCTTAAAATCCTGCCTGGCATGTAGCAATCATTCAATAAGTACTAATTTATGCTTCTAGCTCTTGCAATACTATACCCAAACTCAACTGTATACTATTCTTGTTACTGGACTCTACATTTTGGTTCCTTGATTAATATGTGGATTATTAGGTGTCCAGGTTATTTTAGAAAATTACTATTTTTATACCCCATTTATAGTATTCTTTGTTGGGGCTCTCTCATCATTTCTGATGATTTAAAATTCCAGTCCACCCTCTGCACCCACAGATTCAACCAACCGGGATCAAAAATATTTAAGAAAAAAAAAGCTGCGTTGTTGCTGACATGTCCTATGTGATTAGGCCTACAATGGTAGCATCTGTACTGAAGATGTACAGACTTTCTTTCTTGTCATTATTCCCTAAGCGATAGTGTAACAACTATTATTAATCAGTAATCTAGAGATGATTTAACATACATGAAGAGGCTGTGCATAGGTTACATGCAAATACTACATCATTTTATATAAGGGACTCAAGCCTCTGGGGACTTTGGTATCCATAGGGGGTTCGAGTGTGTGTGGGGGGAGATATCCTGGAACCAATCCCCTGCAGATACTGAGGGACAACTGCATATCTTCAAGTTAGAAGACAGAAGTCTCAGTGATCACCTTACCCAGTCTTCTCCCCCGATACAAAAATATCTAACCTCTGTCATCCAGCCCCTGAACACTTCTAGTCATCACTGGTTTCATTTCTGAGCACCTCCACTTTGCGAGGCCAACATCTGCTTCCCTGTATTTCCACCCAACTTCTTTCTGTCTGCCCTTTAGATCAAATAAGGTGGCCCCCTTTCCCACTTGACAGTTCCCTAAATACCTTAGACTCCATCCCCCGCTCCTCCATTCCCCCGACCAAGCTAAACTAGTTCCTCCAGTCATTTCTCACATGAAGTGCTGTCTAATTTTCCCACCACTCTGGACACCTTTGAGTTTTAACTTGCATTTGGCTCACTAGAAGTCCAGGTCTTATTTAACGGTACATTCAAGACTAACGCCCCTGTCGCTAGATACCACGATTTTGTTACAAGCATTTAATTTTACTAAAGCATAAAAACTACAGCTTCAAGGCTAACGGCCAAACAACTATTTTGATTTCAGTTGCCCATTTTGCCAAAATTTCCTCTTTTCTATCACCACCTCACAGCCCACACTGCGGGCCGTATGACTACAAAGCCCTGCTTCATCTCCTAGATCTTTACCTTTGTCCTGCTCTCCGATTTCACTGGCCTCATCGGTCCCCTCAGCCCTAAGGCTCCCCCATGTCATCCAGGTCACCAGCCTTCTCAGGGGCCACGAGTCCCCTTTCCGCAGGCACGCAAAGCTTCCCGCTCGCTCTCAAACTCACTGGGCCACCGTACCATTCCTTAACCGTTTTCTCCACTGACATCGCTTCGGTTCCTGGACAAAAACTGCCTGGCCCAGCACCCGGGAAGGCGGTGAGTTCACTCCCCCTCGGGGCACAAACCTAGGTGCAGGTTCAGGCCCCTGGGGGCGTGGCCGGGAGGCGGTCACTCCGTGTGTCTCTCGCGTGGACGTTCCTCTCTCGCCCCCCTTCCTCTCTATCTGAAATCAATAAGCATACTCTCCCATGAGGATAAATAGAAACAGTGCTTGGATTCTAGCTGCCTATTCCTGCCCAGGCCCTTGTATCACGCTACAAACGCTGAAACACCAACCTTCAGGAGCCCTGCCTGGGAC